AATAATATAAAAATATCATTACAATATAAACGTGTTAGTTTATTTATTTTCTTGAAAGAGGTGATTAAACTTTAGATGGTATTTTTCGAGAATACATGATATTGCATCTTCAAGAGGCACGTCATTTTCATTGATAAGAGAGAGAATTCCTATGCAACGCACTTTTCATGAAGCAGGCAGACAGTTTTAATTGTTTTTTATAATTTTTCAAAAGTAACTCTCTGTCTTTTTCCAGCATCCGTTTCATGGTCGTTTCTCTGGCTTCTTCCGTCGGAACCCCTTTTTGGACTAATTTGGTAACTTGGTCTTGGAATAAAGGGTCATGTTGGTTCCAGACGATGTTGATCATCATATCAAAGCCGACTGTATCGTCCTCATCATCTGTTTGATCACTGGTGTCAGTGTCTTCCTCTAAGTCTTCCTCGCAGTTGCAGCCAAGTGCGGTGTGACGACCCAAGTTAAGATGTAGCAAACACGAGACCACAATCAAGGCAAAAGGGCTGCAAAATGTTGTTCTCACTTTGCTTGAGTGTAACCTCGCTGAAATCGACAGGAGGCAATTTTTTCAAGAAGATATTGGTTTGTAATCGCTTGGATTCTGGTGTGGTTTGCTTTAAATCTACGACAAGGGATCCGTGAGGCGTTTCATCAACGGCTTTGTGATAGGCATCTAGCAATATGTTGGAATGTCCAGGATACATTTGACGAGCGAGGGTAGAGATCTGCAGTTTGTCTCGCGGATTCTTAAAGAGAACCAAATATTGGCTGTTCAGGTTCATCGTCCTATTTTCTTTTCCACCGTTGAATAGGTTCTGCATGATGCAAACTATGCTCATGTTTCTGTGGTGGGCGCCCTCCGCGAATGTTTCACATACATCTTTATTTGCAGTGGAATCTTTCATGAGATCGTCGATGATTAAAAGTGTATTTTCGTCGGGATTCTGAAAGTCGTCGCTGTCAAGGTCGGCCGGTAGTCCTTGGATGAACTCAAGGATAGGTATTTGTCTCTTGAGGTCGTCATACAAGGGCTGCCATCTTTTATACAGCCCAATGATTCGGTCAGGAGACGGTGAGATTAAACTCTGTCTTTGAAGTAAAAGTTCTTTCATCCATGTTGACTTTCCCGACATCGTAGGACCCGCAATGACCATGGTAAATGGATGCTGAAATTTAAATTGAATGCCTCGACGGTACGGATGTTGCCCTTTATGGGCGGTTCTTTCGTGTCTTCTTAGGGCATATATGCGTGAAAAAGATTTATGGCAGTTGTTGCAAGGTGTGGACGACATGGTGTTCTTCGTGCAAATGACGCCTTGTCCGATTTACCTCTTATTTAATTATTACATTCGAACCCTCTTTCCAGGTGGTCCGTTACCATTGTCCTTGATCTCTTCAGCGGCATATGTGGTCTTCCTTCTTTGACGGTCTCTTTCAGCACATAATTTGCTCTCTCTACTGCTGCCTCTGCCGTGGAAAATCGCTGGTACAGCTGTTTAAAAGTCTTGTCTATTTTGACTGTTTTAACCGTTTTGCGACCATGTCTTGGCTTCCGTTGGATGATGTGTACGTCTTTCGTCGCCCAGACTCTAGGGTGTGAGACATAAATTTTCCTAAAGTAGTCTTTTTTTATCCATGATGTGAACTGTAAACGTCGGAAACACAAATGAATGACGCATCTAAACGAAGATCCTTTTAAGTAGAAGAATACGATTGATTACCTATGGCTGACGATCGAAAATTCAGAGTTAGTACGACCTCCCCGTTCAAAAATGTGGCAGGTTCATTATCTTTATCTCTAATTTTCAAACTCTTGGATTCGCAGTGGCACTTGGAATGGTCTTGTGAAGATTTGATTCTTGTTAGACTCCAAAACGATACGTCTCAGTAACGGTCTGTACTGTTGGCTCACCACGGATGTGTCGCAGACGTCGCAGTATATAAAGAGCTCTTTCTTTGTGGTTTTGGCAATGCCCTTGACATAGAATTCGCTTAGTTCTACAATCCATTGGTCCGTAAACACCAACCATTTCGGTAATGTAACCGTAAAATCGTATGGTTGGTTGCCGGGGAACACGTCTTTGCTTTCGGAAGATCTGAGAATGTATGTTGTTGCCATCCTCTGCAGTAATGAAAAGATTTGTGAGTACAGGGGTATTATATGCTATAACCAAAAAAAACCACAAATTAAAACCAGTCTGCGCAATTCGACCAAAAATTTACGATTAATCATCTAAAATAGTTCCGGAGTCCGCGGGTTCCGGAGTCCACGGTTTCCGGTAGCTTCGGTCTCCGGAGTCCACGGGTTCCGGCCGGCGGCGGCGGTGCGCGCGAGCAATCTCAACATTTCTTTTTATGACAAAGTGTTAGAGTACTTGTTGCCCTTCTCTTGCTCTCCCTCCCAACTTTGACATTTAAATACCCGTGTTCATTCATTCGTGTAAGTGCTCCTGTATCCCATTTCATCATCATTTAAATACCCGTGCTCATTCACAGTAACCAATACGGTCAGGGTCATATCGTAAACTAGATCTCGGTCAGGGTCACTTCATTGTTCTCCCCCATTGTTCTCCTATTGTTCTCCAACACAATAGACCCCCATTGTTAGGGGGGGTATACGTCCGCCCTTACTACTATTATCATCTCTGCATGACCAGTCGATTGATCGAGTCGGGTCAAACTTGACCTCTTGTCTAGATGAATATGGGGCCAAAGTGGAATAATAGTCTGTTAGGGGTGCAGTAAGGTGCTGTCACACGATGCGATTTTTCCAATCGATTTGCTTTCGAGTAAAATCGTACCGTGTGACCACCCAAGTCGAAAGCAAAATCTGAAAGTCGATTGGAATTCTATTGAATAGCGTGACGTCACAATGACATTTCCTGCGACAAGGGGGAAATGTAGCATTTTTAGGTCACATGAGTCACTCAGGTGACCTATTGCTATCCGTTTTCGTCCGTCGTCGTGCGACGTGCGTTAACATTTGAACATTTTTAGCTTCTTCTCTGAAACCGCTTCACAATTTCAACCAAAATTTGCATATAGCATCTATGGGTAAAGGGGAACAAAATTGTGAATTTCATGGTCCCTGCCCCCTGGGGCCTGAGGAATGGGGCTAAAACCACAAAAAAATATGCAATCTTTTAAATCTTCTTTACTCCTGGACATAAAGCAGTCAAACCGTTGACATGATTGTAACAAGCATTGAGCCCTCTACCAAATTGTGAAATTCATGGCCCCAGGGTCAGGGGTTCTGGTGCTAGGGCGGGGCTATATAATCATATAGTGAAAGTGCATTATTTCTTTGAAAATCTTCTTCTCTGCTCCTGGGTATAATATAAACTAAGTACATAGTTATGAAGAGCAAGAGTGTATCCTCCAAAATTGTGAATTTCATGGCCCCAGGGTCAGGGGTTCTGGTGTTAGGGCGGATATATAGTGAATATATAGTGAAAATGCATTAATTCTTTGAAAATCTTCTTCTCTGCTCCTGGGTATTAAATAAACTAAGTACATAGTTATGATGAGCAAGAGTGCCTCTCCCAAAATTGTGAATTTCATGGCCCCAGGGTCATGGGTTCTGATGTTAGGACGGGGCTCTATTGATTATATAGTGAAAATGCATTAATTCTTTGAAAATCTTCTCTGCTCCTGGGTATTAAATAAACTAACTAAATACATAGTTATGATGAGCAAGATTGAATCTTCCAAAATTGTGAAATTTATGGCCCCAGGGTTAGGGGTTCTGGTGTTAGGGCGGGGCTCTATTGATTATATAGTGAAAATACATTAATTCATTGAAAATCTTCTCTGCTCTTGAGTATTAATTAAACTAAGAACATAGTTATGGTGAGCATGGCTGCCTTTTCAGAAATTGTGAATTTCATGGCCCCAGGGTCAGGGGTTCTGGTGCTCGGGCGGGGCTCTATTGATTATATAGTAAAATTGCATTATTTCTTTGAAAATATTTTACTCTGCTCCTGGGTATTAAATAAACTAATTTAGTGCATAGTTAAGATGAGCATGGTTGCCTCTTCCAAAATTGTGAATTTCATGGCCCCTGGGTCAGGGGTTCAGGTGTTAGGGTGGGGCTCTTTTGATTATATAGTAAAATTGCATTAATTCTTTGAAAATCCTTTTCTCTGCTCCTGAATATTAAATAAATTAAGTACACAGTTATGATGAGCATGGCTGCCTCCCAGAAATTATCAATTTCATAGCCCCTTGGTCAGGGGTTAGGGTGGGAAAATGCATAAAATCTTTCAAAATCTTCCTCTCTGCTCCTGGGTATTTTTCAAACAAAGGAGGTGCATGGTTATGATAAGGAAGAATGTCTCTTCCAAAATCATGAAATTCATGGCCCCTGAGTCAGGGGTTCTGGTGACAGGGGGAGGCCTCTTTTGATTATATAGTGAAAATGCAATATTTCTTTCAAAATATTTTTTTCTACTCCTGGTTATAAAGCAAAGAAATAAGTGTATAGTTATAATGAGCAAGGGTGCTTCTTCCAGAATTGTGAGTTCATGGCCAATGGGTCAGGGGTTCTGGTGTAAGGATGGTGCTTTATTTATTTAATAATATAGTGAAAATGCATTTCTTTGAAAATCTATGCGTCTTGGTATATTCGAGGCAAACAGAGTAAAAGTTTTAATATGCAAGGGTATTTTTACCACAATTTTGAGCACCTGGACCATTTAGTCAAGTGTTCTGGTCCTGGCCAGGGCTCTATTAACTTGTATTCTGCTGAGCAAAGTTATTCCACTTTGCCATTCACCTTTGATAATTAATCACTGTAAATAATGTATTTGAAAGGTTAATCATCTTCGCTAGCCAAGGGTTTTTGGTCCACTCCGCTCCCCATAAACCCTTGGGAGATTTCATTAAGAAAATACGGTGGCGCTATCTAGCGACTAAGTAGAGTTGCGCCCCTTGCAACTTCATTTTCTTATCCAATGAAATAATGGGTTACATACACGCTACGGCAAAACAACGAAAGTGGAAACATGTTGACTGACGAATCACGGAAAAGAGTTTACGACACTTTTAAAGTAAAATTACGAGAAAACCAAGAGAAAGCAATTAATGCTGTGTTATTAAATCGCGATGTGTTTGTTGGGACCCGCACCGGGAGTGGAAAATCGCTGGTATATGAAAGCATTCCTGTCATAAAACCAGGTATTGTCGTCATTGTAGCACCTCTCTTGTCAATAATGAGGGAACAAGTTGAGAAATTGAACAACTTTGGACTTGCTGCCACTTACATTAGGAAGAACGTTGAGGAAAATGAAAGAATAGAGGCGGGGCAGTACGATTTCGTATTTGGTAGCCCCGAAAGACTGGTTGGTGAGAGGCGGTGGAGTTATGTTCAAGTCGGAGGAGTATAGGAGGCGGCTACAGTTGTTAGTCGTGGATGAGGCCCATACAGTATGTATAATGTGTAGTTTAGTGTACAAATGATATCAATGCATGTATAATGAAGGAACTGTAACTAGTATATCATGTATATAAAGGCAAGTACAGTCTTAGTAGCATGTACCTCAGTCCTCATGTAGCCATTTTTCAGAATCAAACAGTTGGGACACTAACTCTATTTAGCTCAATAGCTTCATTGTTATGATTAAAAGGTCAGTTGCTTTAATAATAGTTTTCAAACATGCATGCATGCATCAACATGCTTATCTAACAGTACTGGTTGATTTTAGCATATACATTAGCAATTTAAACTAAAATTAGTTCACAAAAGTATTAAGTGTTTGCCTTCCTAATTACATACATCTTGTATCACATTGATTAAGGTCCTGTGTAATCGAAAGGCCCAGCTATACTTTTTATTATGATGTTGATGATCTCACCTTGGATTATCGTAAATTTCTTGTGACAGAGCAAACAAGTATTTACAAATTAATAGCATATAATACATTTGAAATTATCAAACACCATATACATGTATTATAAGAATCTTGCATGTTATTGAGTTTATATATATACTTCTTAATTCTAATTAGCATAATAATTTTTTCAGGGGAGAGGGAAGGACAGATGAAGATCCTTCCAGGAAGTGGTTTTCAAAGATTCAGGAGCTGCGATCTTTGTGCCCAAATGTTCGTGTCCTTGCTCTTATTGCAACTGCTGGACCAACTCAGAGGAGGAAAATTTTTAAATGTCTATGCTTTCGACCAGGTTATGAACTTGTTCTTGATTCGCCTGATAGGAGAAACATTAAGATTACTGTGAAACCCATTAAAAATAATGATACTATAGACAAAGTTTTTGATTGGCTTATTAAAGACTTGAGACACCACAGAGAACAGTTACCAAGACTTTTGTAATAGTATAAGTGACGTTACAAAGATTTATTTTGCATTCATTAAAAACTGCAGACAAAATAGATCAAACTTTGAAATGTTTCATAGCAAAATTGATGAAGAAATCAAAAACAAAATTAGAGAAGATATGGCTACTGAAGGTCACATTAGAATACTTATTTGTACTAATGCAGCCGGAATGGGTGTCAACTTCCACCAAGTACATAATGTTGTGCACTATGGGATACCCAGGGAGTTGGAGACTTTCGTGCAACAAATGGGTAGAGGTGGGAGGGATGGAAAACCTTCACATGAACTTGTATTGTTTAAGGCACATAAAGGTTACTTAAAACATGTTGAACCAGAACTTGTTCGAATTGTCAAAGATAACAGTGTACGTCGAAGAAATATATTATGCAATGCTTTTCAGACGAAACATTGTGAACTAACACCTTTACATGCATGTTGTGATGTGTGTGAGAAAAAGTGTAAATGCCAACTGGATACCTGCCCAGAATCGCATGTTGCCATGAAAGATGATGACGAAGGAGAATCTTCCGAAGGTGAGATGGAGCGAAATGTTTCAGTTGAAGAAAGACGTCTTCTGACACAAAAGTTGGAATCCTTGCAGTTTACATTGTCTGACAGATCAAGCGGTGGGCTTCTTAATTCAGAATTAGTCCATGGATTTACAAAAGATCTAGTGAAAAATATTGTTTCTAAATGTCATGTTTTGTTTACTGCAGAAGACAAAAATTCCCTATTTGGTCTTTCTGTATAGCTCAGGAGATTTGTAAATTATAATACTTGATGTATTTGGAGACGAAACAATGTACAATTTCGTAGACAGTGATAGTTCCACATCACAAGATTGACTGTTGGAAAAAAAAATACTAGTATTGCAGAACAGTGCAGTATAAAGTCATGTATGAACATCTTTTCATTTTTCAGTTGCATTACATTTCATAAACTGTTTTTCCACATTGTGACTCCTTTTATTATTATTACTTTTTTTTTTGCTTTGTCAATAAAGTTGTGCCTCAAATTAAAGTTTTCAAACTAAACAAAATATTCTAGGTATTGAAAAAGTGTTTTAGATATTTAAAGTTTTGCACATTTATATTGGATGTTTGAAAACAATTAAAGAAAATGGAGAGCTAACAATAATAGAAAGTTTAAAATGAAGGTGGAAAACAGACCGAATGAAGAATGGAGTGATAAACAGGCCTATTGGGCCCCAGGATCATAAAACAGACTTAGACATAAGTCAAATTTCTAATCGCCCGTAAAATGTTTATTGATTAATAATTATTGAATTTAATAAGAAAAAAAATTGCAAATTACAATAATTTTGTGAATCAGTATTGAAACATATTTTAATTTTGAGTTTCTTGACTTCCACAACATTTAAGTATAATAAAAAAAATTGGACTTGTGGTTAAGATGTTTCATGATCCCTGGGGGCAGATTTGTAGAAACCAAAATATCTTCAGATCAACTTTATAATATTTATTGGTAACAAAGAGAGAGAGCGAAAAAAAAACAAGAGGCCCAAGGGCTTTAACTGTCACCTGAGTATGATACAACAATTTAAAGGATGCATAGAGTATAAAATGAACTGAAAGGTGAAGCTTTGTTGCCCAAAAGCAAGAAAAAAAGGGTGATCATGATCAACAAAATAATTGGTCTTAATATTCATTAACAGTTCATAAATTAGGTTCTAGTCTGTTCCCCATTTATCACTATCACCATACAGTATATTAACAAATTGTCAGTGCTTCTGTACTATTTTAATCCTTTGTTGAAATCTCTTACATTGGCCTCTCTTGGTCTTTGATGAATATTTAATAAGACAAGTTATTTTTGTCTCATTTTTATTTATCTACTACTTACAAGTCTATCTGATCATTACAAATATGAAAGTATTTTTTGTATTATACAATAAAAGTTTTTGCATAATTCTCTTATTCTATTTACCTTTCAAGTACATTATTTACAGTATTAAATTATCAAAAGTAAAAGGCAAAGGGAAATTACTCCTCTCAGTAGAATACAAACTAATAGAGCCCTGGCCAGGACCAGAACACTTGACCAAATGGTCCAGATGTTAAAAAATCTGGTAAAAATTCCCTTCTTTATAAAAACTTTTACTCTGTTTGCCTCAGATATGCCCAGGTGCGGAGAAGATTTTTAAATAAATAATGCATTTTTACTACAGATTCACTATATTATCAATAGAGCCCCCAACCCCAACCCCACCCCTGAAACACCAGAGCTTCTGACCCTGGGACCATATGTTTGCTCATCATAACTAATCACTTTGTTTATCTGTTTAACACTAAGGAGCAAACAGGATTATTTAATAGAATTAATGCATTTTCACTAAATTATCAAGAGCCCGACCCTCACACCAGCACATCTGACCCAGGGGTCATGAAATTCACTACTCTGGAAGAAGCACACTTGCTCATCATAACTATACACTTAGCTTCTTTGCTTTTTTAACCAGAAGAAGAAAAGAATATTTTCAAAGAAATTTTGCTTTTTCACTTTATAATCAATAAAAGCCCCCCCCCCCCCCCCCCTCACCAGAGCCCTTGAACCTGGGGTCATAAAATTCACAATTTTGGAAGAGGCATCCTTGCGTATCATAACAATGTATTTTTAAATTAGTCTGTCTAAACCCAGGGGCAGAGAAGAAGATTTTCAAAGAAATAATTCACCTTCACTATAGGATCTATATAGCCCCGCTCTAACACCAGAACTCCTGTCCCCGGGGCCATGAATTTCAAAATTTTGGAAGAGACATCCTTGCTTATCATAACAATGTACTTAGTTTGTTTAAATAATACCCAGGTGCAGAGAAAAAGATTTTTAAAGAATTAATACATTTTCACTTTATAATCAATAGAGCCCCGCCCTTACACCAGAACCCCTGATCCAGGAGCCACGAATTTCACAATTTTGAATGAGGCATCCTTGATTATCATAACTATGTATTTAATGCATTTCAATAATACCCAGGAGTAGAGAAGAAGATTTTCAAAGAATTAATGCATTTTCACTATATAATCAATAGAGCCCCACCCTAACACCAGAACCCGTGACCCAGGGGCCATGAAATTCACAATTTTGAAAGAGGCACTCTTGCTCATCATAACTATGTACTTAGTTACTGAATTTAATACCCAGGAGCAGAGAAGAAGATTTTCAAAAAATTAATGCATTTTCACTATATAATCAGTAGAGTCCCGCCCTAACACCAGAACCCCTGACACAGGGGCCATGAAATTCACAATTTTGGAAGAGGCACTCTTGCTCATCCTAACTATGTGCTTAGTTAGTTTACGTAATACCCAGGAGCAGAGAGGAGAAGATTTTCAATGAATTAATGCATTTTTCACTATATAATCAATAGAGCCCCGCCCTAACACCAGAACCCCTGCCCCTGGGGCCATGAATTTCACAATTTTGGAAGAGGCACTCTTACTCATCATAACTATATACTTAGTTGGTTTATTTAATACCCAGGAGCAGAGAAGAAGATTTTCAAAGAATTAATGCATTTTCACTATATAATCAATAGAGCCCCGCCCTAACACCAGAACCCCTGCCCCTGAGCTATGAATTTCACAATTTTGGAAGAGGCACTCTTACTCATCATAACTATATACTTAGTTTATTTGATACCCAGGAGCACAGAAGATTTCCAAAGAACTAATGTATTTTAACTATATAATCAACAGAGCCCCGCCTTAACACCAGAACCCCTGCCCCTGGGGCCATGAATTTCACAATTTTCGAAGAGTCACTCTTACTCATCATAACTATATCCTTAGTTAGTTTATTTTAATACCCAGGAGCAGAGAAGAAGATTTTCAAAGAAATAATGCACTTTCACTATATGATCTATATAGCCCCGCCCTAGCACCAGAACCCCTGACCCTGGGGCCATGAATTTCACAATTTTGGTAGAGGACTCAATGCTTATTACAATGATGCCAACAGTTTGACTGCTTGATGTCCAGGAGTAAAGAAGAAGATTTTTAAAGATTGCATTAATTTTGGTGGTTTTAGCCCCACCGCTCAGGCCCCAGGGGGGCAGGGACCATGAAATTCACAATTTTTGTTCCCCTTCACCCATAGATGCTATATGCCAAATTTAGTTGAAATTGGTTGAGCGGTTTCATAGAAGAAGCTTAAAATGTTCAAATGTTAACGCACATCGCACGACGACGGACAAAAACGGATAGCAATAGGTCACCTGAGTGACTCAGGTGACCTAAAAAATCATTGATGACCTTATGCAATGATAGACATTAAAATTTATTCACTTTGACCTTGTGACACCAAATCTCCCAATTGTTTTTATTCTTTGACCAGTTTTAAGGTTTGACCTTTGATAAGAGAGACAACTTTCATTGGGATGATAACTATTTTTTCCTATATAAACTTTAAAAGGCCATTTCAGTCTTTTGCAGTGTTAGGTTTGTTAAAGTTGTGTGTTTTTAATGAAAGATAAGATATCTTTTGGAAAATCATTAGCTCAAAGCTTAAATTATATGAACTATTAAAGTTAATCATATGACCAACTTCCTCAATTAAAAAAAATGTTCATAATATTTTAAATAAAGGTTTAGACTTCAAATACATGGTAATAGCTTTCAAACAAGCATATACATATATTCACTCCCTCTAATGTAGAAATGACACTGTAATAGATATCGAACAGCTTCTTTAAAATGCTAGCAATAAAATAACAGTAACAATGCTCAGGTCAACAAATAATCTTGATTACATTTCTAACTGAGCACTTCGTAAGACAGTCTCTCTCTATTTTCTGTAATCCAGACATGCAAATCTACAACTTTAATGCGAGAGAAAAAGTCAATAAAACATGGGAAATTAACAAATTCTCTACCAGGAATGTAGTCGAACATTTTGGCATTGTTCAGTTCAGTCACCATTTCCAAAATGTCTGAGATTTTATTTGCTTCAAGTCTTCTTGATCCTGATTTTTTTCT